TCATCAGAAACATTAGAACATACAGGTAAAGTAATTTTAGCTGTGGATTGAAAATTGTTACAATTATCATAATACTTTTTCAGTGAGTTGACATGATACACTGTCTGTTTCTTTCTTCTGTCGGGCGTATTGACAACATAGTTCAAATCACTTAATTTTGAATGCACAGTAAAGGGTCCACAATATCTCAAGGATAACGCATTGTTCGGAGTAGGCACTAGCACAAGAACTTTGTCGCCTGGATTGAATGTTCGTTTACAAGAACTCTTATCATACAGTCCTTTCATTCTCACTTGGGCCTTTCTTAAGTTCTTGTGAGCCATTTCGCACACGGCTTTCAGTCGAACGTGAAAATCGTCGAAGTTTTCCACTGGATGATCACTGGTACCTGTCCAACGTTCGTGTATCAGCTTCAGGGGGCCACGGACAGAATGTCCAAACACAAGTTGAAAAGGCGAGTAGCCTAAAGAGTCCTGGACACAGTCCCTCGCGGCGAAAATAATCCAAGGAACAGTCTCATCCCATTGGGTGTTACTATTAGCGAGCGTTCTTAGCATGGTTTTGAGGGTTTGGTGGAACCTCTCAAGTACGCCTTGAGACTGAGGGTGGTAGGCTGAGCTGGTGATGTGGGTAACGCCTAGCTTGGCTAGTGCTTCCTGAAAATGGTGACTGGTGAAGTTGCTGCCTTGATCTGTTTGCACGATTCTAGGTAATCCAAAGGTAGTGAAGAACCGGGTCATGGCTCTGACTACAGTCTTTGCCTTAATGTTCCGTAAGGGAATCGCCTCGGGAAAACGGGTACTTGAACACATAAAGGTAAGTAGGTACTCGTTGCCCGCCTTGGTTTTAGGCAAGGGACCTACACAGTCCATGACGATTTTAGAAAAAGGTTCTTCTAATACAGGAATCGGACTCAAAGGGGCCTTAGGAATTGTCTGGTTTGGCTTTCCGGCCAACTGACAGTTCGTGCAACTTCTACAGTAACGCGACACATCTTTTCTCATTTTGGGCCAAAAGAACAGTTCTTTGATCTTCGCCGTCGTTTTAGTGACACCTGGGTGCGCTGACATTGGATGGTCATGTGCCAGCTTAAGTATTTCATGCCGATAAGGTGGAGGGACCCACAGCTGGTTTTTACCCAACCATGGTTCGGCTGGTGAGGCATTCACTGGTATAGCGCGACGAAAGAAGAGGCCGTTCTCGGAGAAATATTCTCCATCGTCAGGTGATAGAGATTTTTCGACCGTTGCCTTGAGTTCCGCGTCGACTTGTTGAGCTTTAATGATGTCTTCCTGAGATATCCTCAGGGGTAAGCCCAGGCTTGTGTTCTCTGGAAGCATAGACTCCAATTTGGGAGTCGAATTTCTTGACGATGACGGTAGGTGTGGTTCAGGCGTTGTGTCAGCTAATTGTTTGGTCTGGCTTCTTGTCACCGCACATGCAGGATACAGTTCATTATCATTATCTGGAACTGTTGACAAAGGGTCTGAAACCGTACAGGGGTATACTTTGCTTCCCGCAAGGTCATTCCCTAGAAGTAGGTGTACTCCTGGGACAGGAATACTATCTATCACACCTAAAATGACCTCACCTTCGACGAGATGATGTTTCAGGGCAAACTTGTGTAGAGGGACGACAGTAGATTTCGTCCCCACTCCCTGGATAATGGAAATCCTTCCGGTGTTCGTCTCTGGTGAAATGTCCATTGAACTTTTCAAAAGGAGTGATTGTGACGCTCCTGTGTCTCTTAGAACGGTGATATTCTTCTGAGACAACGGATCACCTGGTTTGCTAATGATGGCTTCGGCAATAAAAGATGAAAAGTCAACTTTTCTCGATCCCTCGAGATCGGTAGACTCGGAAGAAACTGGATGGTGGCGAGAACAGTCAAAATGTGACTGCACATAATGCGTGGAGACTTGACTACCTTCTTGCGGACACTTAGGGTTAGAGTCCTTTTGAATTCTAGAGTTCATAGTTGAACTGGCTGCTTGAGGGGGTAGAGCATAGTGCGCAGAAGTACGCACCACCTCTCTGTTATATTGACGACGTTTGTAACAGTCCTTGACATGGTGACCAGGCCTTTTGCAGAACTGGCATACTGCTCGACGATTGAGAGTTGATCTTGGTTTCTCTCTGGACTGTGATGTCTTCAAATGTTGGCCAACAGGAGGATTGCTGCCAAAAAGGGGAAGCACGGGGTTGAGGCGGTTTCCTGACACTGGTGGTTTCTTATGCACCAACATATATGTGTCAGCCGACTCAGCAGCCTTCTGGATGTCAGTTATCTTGTTATCCAGAATGTGTAGTCGTATCTCTTCAGGCAGGGACGATAGGAATTCTTCCCTTAGGATAAGTGACCTGAGTTTCTCAAACTCAGAAACTCCCTCCGAGTGTAGCCACCTTGAGAATATTTTCTCCTTTTCAAAGAGAAATTCCACATATGATTGTGTGGGTAACTTGCGGAGTGTTCGGAATTTTGTCCGATAGGCCTCGGGCGTCAGTGCGTAGGCCTTCAAAATGGCAGTCTTGACCAAACTATAGTTATTTTGAACGTCGTGAGAGAGTGCCTGGTATGTTTTTGCAGCTTTCCCAGTAAGGACAGAGCTCAATAAAGCAGTAATGGAGGTTTCGGGCCATTCACAAGTCTTCGCTAAACTCTCAAACGAGTTAAAGAAAACGACCAAATCTGTTTCATCAAATTTAGGAACTAATTTCCCAAATTTGGCAATCACTTGCCCTACCGACAACTTTTTTGGATCTACCAGAGAAGTGACATCACTAACTTGACCAAACTCTAATTCCAACCTCCTCTTATCTAAAGCAATTTTAGCCTCTAACTCCTGTCTCTCTAGAGCAACTTTCTCCTTCTCTAAAGCAATTCTAGCTTCTAATTCTACCTTCTCTAGAGTTTTCTCCTCGCGGAGCAACACACCAGCCAACAAACTTTCATCAAATACTCCTTCATTAATGAAATGAACAACAATTTTATCTCTCAACACTTCTGACTTCTGCGTAACAGAATAATCCAATTTCAATTCCTTAACAACACTAACCAAAACTTTTCTACTCAACTTTTCTACATCTTCAACAGTAGGATTAGCCAAAAAAGACTCCATAACACTAACTTGAAAATCACAACAAGCCTAGATTCTTTAAATTAACACACCGTGTTGGGCCGTGTACTTGACCTCTAAATGTAGGACGTGACACGTCTGCTTATTTGACCTAGATACTCTAGCCTGAGCGCGCGTTGTAAGAACACTGCGCTACTGGATATAAAACAACTAAATCCAACTAACCTTAGTATTCAACTGATATAACCAACAACTGGAACGACAGATTAAATCCCGGACGAGCCCCCACTTTGTAACGTTAACCAATCTATCAGCCAAATAGAAGGAGAACGTCCCCGGATTCTTTTTTCGGGGTCATATGCAAATGCCTTACGGCCTAAGTGGATGAACACTTAACACAACGACTCACTAGGGCTCGAATTTAATGTCTAGGGAAGCTAGTGATACTATTGTAATTAACACTCATCCAATCTACATACGACCTTTTAATCAGCGAACACAATTGTGGCAGAACACAAAGATGAACTAGATAAAATATTTAATGTATAAAATATCAAAAACCCAACTTACACAATGTAGGAAAAAACACTATCACAGATTTCTACACTGTCAAAAAAACAGCCACAGGCCACACAACACTGCTGTAGCTTCAGGAATTACTTAGCGACAAGTAATATTAAACTAGAAGACTAAATCACTTAAGAAAGCAAGGCACACACAGGTCTTAAGTACTCTCACGTTCAAATGGTCAGAGTCTATAGCCGGACAATATGGACGGCTGCCTGAGCAAGATAAAACGGCCTCGTAGACTGCCAGGTCAAGATAAACTGCCTCGTGTTGCGAGTGTGCAGTGCAATTAAAGACTTCTGTGACAGGGGAGGTTATCCTCAACTCATGTCGCCATTGGTTGGGATAATCATCTGATCAGAATCATTCAATCAGATTTTAATGGAAAATTTCTATGTCTCAAACACCTTAATAAGTCAGTGGAAAAACCCCAGGTGTTACACCATCATTCCATATAAGGAATTATACAATGTCAAAATAAAAATGACTCGACCTAAGTAGGTCACACTGTTAATTTTTCTTTCATAATTTTTTTTTTTAATTTTACTTCTAATTCTTTTAATTTTACTTCTACTAATTTGACCCCTGTCTGAATCATAAATGGTTATGTGATATGGTCAAAGCATACAACTTTCCTTTGGAATCCTTCATATATAATTTTAATGGCATTAATGTCATTGAACCCATTTCTAATTGTCTAGTGTGTTGCCAGTTTCACCATCTAACCACTCTCCCATTGTCAACATAATTAAGCCATCTAACCAACAGATGACTACTTTCCTATTGACCACATATATGAATCATTTAACCACCAACTGACCACTCATCTACTGTCCACATATTTGAGCCATCTAACAAACAATTGACCACTCTCCTATTGAACCATTTAACCACCAACTGACCACTCGCACTGACCACATATTTGAATCATTTAACCACCAACTGACCACCCATCTACTGACCACATATTTGAGCCATCTAACAAACAATTGACCACTCTCCTATTGAACCATTTAACCACCAACTGACCACTCGCACTGACCACATATTTGAATCATTTAACCACCAACTGACCACTCATCTACTGTCCACATATTTGAGCCATCTAACAAACAATTGACCACTCTCCTATTGAATCATTTAACCACCAACTGATCATTCGTGTTGTCCACACATTTGAACCATTTAACCACCAACTGACCATTCGTGTTGTCCACACGTTTGAATCATTTAACCACCAACTGACCATTCGTGTTGTCCACACGTTTGAACCATTTAACCACCAACTGACCATTCGTGTTGTCCACACGTTTGAACCATTTAACCACCAACTGACCACTCTTGTATTGTCCACAGATTTGAATGTTGAAGCGAGTCTTGAAAAGATGCCAGACGAACAGATAACTGAGGCGGCCACCATCTCGTGAGTCACGTGGTGTTTGTTGACATGTCTGTGTACGTTGTATTTTTGTTTCTGCTGGTCCATGTTAAGTCTGTCCCGGCCTGGCTTGGACACAGGTACGTTGTCTGGTCACCTCAAGCCCTGGGCTGGTCGTGGACAGGGGTCACGTGTCCCTCTTCCCTCATTCCCCCGCCTTTCACCCACCAACAAACACGTACTTTTTCTCGTCATTTTGGCTTCACACCTATACGCTTTTCCTGTCTTTTTAATGTTACACATTTTCTTGTATCAGTAGATCCCACATATACACATTTCTCGTCTCCAATGTCGAAGAAATTAAAATAAAACACTGCACAGTTACAGTTTAAACTAAGACCTTTACAGACAACATTGATGAGCTCTCATTTACATAGTTGATGAGTTCCACGAACCTAATTTAAAAAGAGTTAAGCCATAACTTTAAAAAAAAAAACCAACAGCGTCGAAAATGGACTGACAGATGTATTGAAATACATGATTATTCTTTGGTAGAGCGCGAGACTGTTAACTCGAGAGTCTCAAGTTCGAATCTGGGTTCTAGTCCCTGAGTACACCCAACTCTGATGAGTACTTAACTCACGTTAGGGGATTTAAGGGCGGCTAGGCATAGAGCTGCCCACACTATCCCTTCATATGCCCGAGGTCACGAAACATGAACACTACTTCATCTCCCCAGTGGGTCGCTAAAGAGGAATCATTTTTTATTTTATTTTTTATTTTTGGGAACTCTTCTGGTCTGAAGTTTAGTTCCATTGTTCTCACACTGTTTTAGTCTATAACCATTTTTCTCTCATACATGCGTGAAAACGCTCTGGTAGAAGAAACACAGGTCGTATGTTAGAGCAGCACTGCAGGGATTTGACCCCCCCCCCCCCCCCCACACACACACTTCTGTCGCCAATCTTTGCCGTGGAGTGGAGTGCAATACTGCTACCTTTGTCCAGCACTGAAGGGCATAAGGGTGATTGCTAAATTTAACTGACATAAATTTTACTACATTGGTGTGGATACGATTCACTGTCGTCATTATCATTGCATTAGTATCATAGCGGAGCATAGGGCCTCCTTCAAATCTCGTCACTCTCTGCAGTCTTATCCCAGCCTTTGCATGCAAGGTGTGTGTGTGTGTATATATATATATATATATATATATATATATATATATATATATATATATATATATATATATGTATCGGTACTTGTCTACATTATGCTACATGCGGCATGTCGAAGTCTTTTGACTGGTATTGATAAGTGACACGTCTGTTGGCTGCTGTGGTACTTAACGACGTATATGTGTGCGTGGCGAGGGGGGGGGGGATTATGGCCTTACATTCTTATGTTGACCGTACTTGTGGCAGTACACATAAGGCCCTGTTTGTCATGCGCGGATTACCGCGCGGTAATGCGACGCTTGCCATGGTAACGGATCAGCACGGGTCATCGCGTCAGCCCGTGCAGTCACGCGAGGGTTTTTGTCTTTAAACCGTGTTACCAAGATTTACAGCTGTTTCTGTCGGGAATCTGTGTCACCAATACTTTTGTAAACTACAGGATCTGTGTCACCAATACCTTTTTAAACTAGAGGATCTGTGTCACCAATACTTTTTTAAACTAGGGAATCTGTCACCAATACCTTTTTAAGCAATCTGTGTCCCCAATACTTTTGTAAACTAGGGAATCTGTGTCACCAATACTTTTTTAAACTAAGGGATACTGTGTCACCAATACCTTTTTAAACTAGGGAATCTGTGTCACCAATACCTTTTTAAACTAGAGGATGTAACGGACACCTATCTACCAGCCAGATAGATGGTGAACGCCCCCGGATTCTTTTTTGGAGTTATATGCAAATGACATAAAGCCTAAATGAATGAACACTAACTCAACAACACACTAGGGCTCGATTTCGATGTCTAGGGAAAACTAGTGATACTATTGAAGTTAACAACTCATCCAATCTGCATACAACCTTTAATAAGCGAACACAGTTGTGGCAGAACACAAGGTTAAACAAGATAAAATATTTAATTTAGAAAATAACAAAACCCAACTTACAAAGCGTAAGAAAAAATTCTATCACAGATTCTAACACTGTATAAAAATAGCCACTGGTCACATAACACTGCTATAGCATCAAGAATCACTTGGCGACAAGTAATATAATATTAGAACACTTTAACAACTTAGGAATGCATAGCACACTCAGGACTTAAGTTCTCTCACGTTCAAATGGTCAGAATCTATTGCCGGACAAAATGGACGGCCTGGTCATAATGGACCGCTTGATCAAGGTAGACTGCCTCGTGTCGCCTGTGGGCGATCTAGTTAAAGACTTAGGCAACAGGGGAGGTTATCCTCAACTCATGTGGCCATTGGTTGGGGTGGTCATCTGGTCTGAATTAATCAATCAGATCTTGATGGAAAATTTCTACGTCTTAGACACTCTTAATAAGACAGTGGAAAAACCCCGGTAGTTGCACCATCAATCCATATATGGTATTAACACAATGTCAAAATAAAACATTACTGGACCTAAGTAGGTCACAAGGATCTGTGTCACCAATACATTTTTAAACTAGAGGATCTGTGTCACCAATACTTTTTAAAACTAGGGAATCTGTGTCACCAATACTTTTTTAAACTAGGGATACTGTGTCACCAATGCCTTTTTAAACTAGGGATACTGTGTCACCAATACCTTTTTAAACTAGGGAATCTGTGTCACCAATACCTTTTTAAACTAAGTTATACTTTGTCACCAATACCTTTTTAAACTAAGGGATACTGTCGCCAATACCTTTTTAAACTAGGGAATCTGTGTCACCAATACCTTTTTAAACTAAGTTATACTTTGTCACCAATACCTTTTTAAACTAAGGGATACTGTCGCCAATACCTGTTTAAACTAAGGGATACTGTGTCACCAATACCTTTTTAAACTAGGGAATCTGTCACCAATACCTTTTTAAACTAGGGAATCTGTGCCACCAATACCTTTTTAAACTAAGTTATACTTTGTCACCAATACCTTTTTAAACTAAGGGATACTGTCGCCAATACCTGTTTAAACTAAGGGATACTGTGTCACCAATACCTTTTTAAACTAGGGAATCTGTCACCAATACCTTTTTAAACTAGGGAATCTGTGTCACCAATACCTTTTTAAACTAAGTTATACTTTGTCACCAATACCTTTTTAAACTAAGGGATACTGTCGCCAATACCTTTTTAAACTAGGGAATCTGTGTCACCAATACCTTTTTAAACTAAGGGATACTGTCGCCAATACCTGTTTAAACTAAGGGATACTGTGTCACCAATACCTTTTTAAACTAGGGAATCTGTCACCAATACCTTTTTAAACTAGAGGATCTGTGTCACCAATACCTTTTTAAACTAGAGGATCTGTGTCACCAATACTTTTTTAAACTAGAGGATCTGTGTCACCAATACCTTTTTAAACTAGAGGATCTGTGTCACCAATACTTTTTTAAACTAGAGGATCTGTGTCACCAATACCTTTTTAAACTAGAGGATCTGTGTCACCAATACTTTTTTAAACTAGGGAATCTGTCACCAATACCTTTTTAAGCAATCTGTGTCCCCAATACTTTTGTAAACTAGGGAATCTGTGTCACCAATACTTTTTTAAACTAAGGGATACTGTGTCACCAATACCTTTTTAAAATAGGGAATCTGTGTCACCAATACCTTTTTAAACTAGAGGATGTAACGGACACCTATCTACCAGCCAGATAGATGGTGAACGCCCCCGGATTCTTTTTTGGAGTTATATGCAAATGACATAAAGCCTAAATGAATGAACACTAACTCAACAACACACTAGGGCTCGATTTCGATGTCTAGGGAAAACTAGTGATACTATTGAAGTTAACAACTCATCCAATCTGCATACAACCTTTAATAAGCGAACACAGTTGTGGCAGAACACAAGGTTAAACAAGATAAAATATTTAATTTAGAAAATAACAAAACCCAACTTACAAAGCGTAAGAAAAAATTCTATCACAGATTCTAACACTGTATAAAAATAGCCACTGGTCACATAACACTGCTATAGCATCAAGAATCACTTGGCGACAAGTAATATAATATTAGAACACTTTAACAACTTAGGAATGCATAGCACACTCAGGACTTAAGTTCTCTCACGTTCAAATGGTCAGAATCTATTGCCGGACAAAATGGACGGCCTGGTCATAATGGACCGCTTGATCAAGGTAGACTGCCTCGTGTCGCCTGTGGGCGATCTAGTTAAAGACTTAGGCAACAGGGGAGGTTATCCTCAACTCATGTGGCCATTGGTTGGGGTGGTCATCTGGTCTGAATTAATCAATCAGATCTTGATGGAAAATTTCTACGTCTTAGACACTCTTAATAAGACAGTGGAAAAACCCCGGTAGTTGCACCATCAATCCATATATGGTATTAACACAATGTCAAAATAAAACATTACTGGACCTAAGTAGGTCACAAGGATCTGTGTCACCAATACATTTTTAAACTAGAGGATCTGTGTCACCAATACTTTTTAAAACTAGGGAATCTGTGTCACCAATACCTTTTTAAACTAGGGATACTGTGTCACCAATACCTTTTTAAACTAGGGAATCTGTGTCACCAATACTTTTTAAAACTAGGGAATCTGTGTCACCAATACTTTTTTAAACTAGGGATACTGTGTCACCAATACCTTTTTAAACTAGGGAATCTGTGTCACCAATACCTTTTTAAACTAAGTTATACTTTGTCACCAATACCTTTTTAAACTAAGGGATACTGTCGCCAATACCTTTTTAAACTAGGGAATCTGTGTCACCAATACTTTTTTAAACTAGGGATACTGTGTCACCAATGCCTTTTTAAACTAGGGATACTGTGTCACCAATACCTTTTTAAACTAGGGAATCTGTGTCACCAATACCTTTTTAAACTAGGGAATCTGTGTCACCAATACC